AAAAAAAAAAAAAAAAAGAGATGAACAACGTGGTTATGTTGATCTCTCAGCTGCTTTTACTTGACACATTTTGTATGCATATGTGAGTTAAGGGGATCTTAGAAATGAGTGTGGCAGGTCTGGGTTCTATGAAAATGCTAGATGTGTACCTAAGGTTGCAAATAAGAGTGAAGCAAAATTCCAAACATAGTTATAATCTCCATATCTATCAATCTCATAGCTATCTACAAAATTATTGATTTTGGGATTCAAAAACCTTAATTCAAGATGCACCAGCTGGCTGTGTAAACTTAACTAAATGTGACTCTTTCTGGGTTTTAATTTCATCACTATAAAATGAAGGAGTTAGCAAAATCATCACTGAAGACCAGAAGAGTCTTCTAGCTATGAATGTGTGTGGTCCTCTGCTCTCCTAAAGACTGTAACAGAGTTCAGATAGCCAAAGAAAAGGAAAAAATATATATATTTGTGATCCCAGGCTCAGAATACAGATTATGAGAAATAAAAAAAAAAATATAAGAAATAATTCTCATTACCAGCAAACCCAAAGAAAGAGTGAAGGTACTGTTTGTATGGGGTGGGGGGAAGAAGGGGGGTTCAATTGTATGTTTCACAAGGAGCTTTAGGTTTAGGTCTGATATTTTATTTATTTTTTTTTTATTTTTTTTCAACGTTTTTTATTTATTTTTGGGACAGAGAGAGACAGAGCATGAACGGGGGAGGGGCAGAGAAAGAGGGAGACACAGAATCGGAAACAGGCTCCAGGCTCCGAGCCATCAGCCCAGAGCCTGACGCGGGGCTCGAACTCACGGACCGTGAGATCATGACCTGGCTGAAGCCGGACGCCTAACCGACTGCGCCACCCAGGCGCCCCAGGTCTGATATTTTAAAGGTAATAGAGACAATGAAACACAGACCAATATGAAATAATCACATACATTTTTCAGGCTTGTAAACATCTCTTAAAGAATATCAAAGGGGTTGGGGCGCCTGGGTGGCGCAGTCGGTTGAGCGTCCGACTTCAGCCAGGTCACGATCTCGCGGTCTGTGAGTTGGAGCCCCGAGTTGGGCTCTGTCCTGACAGCTCAGAGCCCGGAGCCTGTTTCGGATTCTGTGTCTCCCTCTCTCTCTGCCCCTCCCCCGTTCATGCTCTGTCTCTCTCTGTCCCAAAAATAAATAAACGTTGAAAAAAAATTAAAAAAAAAAAAAAAGAATATCAAAGGGGCTTTTCATCTGTGCTCCAAGTTATGAAGTTTAAGGAAAATGGAGGGTCCACTTCTTAGGGAAAATGTTGCCATCTATAATAGTACAATGTAACCTAACAGCAGTGATTAAAATCATTGCCGATATTTAGATAGCAGTTTACCATTTTGAAAGCGCATTAATTAATATTTTATCTTGTCTAACAACCTAACAGAGAGAAGCTGATGAGTACCAACTTCCATTTTATTTGTTTCTTATTCATCATCAAAAATGTCCCTTGAGTTGGGAAGATATTAACAAACAAGGTTAAAAGACGTGAGACTCAAGATAAATGAAGAAATAAACAAATGGCCTGCGGACACATCAAGCTACATCTCCAAGACTAAAACAATAAAAGTTCATAATTCTAAAAGAACGTAAGGCCGTTGTGGTTAATTATTGAGGGAAAATTATTTGGGCACAGGAAACCAAAGGCCAGAGACTGACATCTCAATTTTCGAAAAAGGCAAAGGATACATAGATTTCCATGACTAAAAACTGATCAATTTGACTGGGTTACCAGAAAGATTCTACAACAAATAATTAAATATCCAGATTGGAAGTATTTAGAAAATAGCAAACTGCTATCTGGCAATGGACGAGAGCTAAAAGAGGGTTTACCCAATTCACATTCATGGCACATGGTTAGGTTTATAACAGTCTTGTTTATGGAATGCTTCATTCACTTCAAATTTGTGTTGTAACAGCATAATCCATTAGGTGCACTTTGATTTTAATTTGGGGATATTCACTTGGAAGACAATTAAAATGCACATTAGACCATTAAACTCGCGGCTGTAATCTTGAAATCTAGTGTATCCAAGAAGTCTCACGGTCTCACGGTCCTACTCGGCAACTTGTAGGCATTATGACACTCCTGCTCAGTGTTTGCTTTTAAGGTTTACCTCCTCGGATAATTTGAAATCCAAATGGAGTCTTACCTCAGCTTCCCGAAGTTTGGTAAAGTTTGACTGTGCTCCAATATAGTATGAAATGCCTTTCGACGCACCCTCCAGAGTCGCACCTCGGATTAACAGGATGAGTAGGACGACATAGGGGAAAATCGCTGTAAAATATACCACCTACCAAGAAAAACAACCAGAGGTTAAGAAGTTAGATTTTTGAGCCGTGGTATTGAATTGTATGCAAACAAAGTTATTAGCCAGTCGAGATCAGCAAAATACAGCATCAAAGACTTCATAAGTTACTAATGAATCTGGTGACACCCCTACCAAAGTTGCCATCGTTTTGTCTTTCTGTTCTCCCCGCTCTCAAATGATCCATTTTCAAAACACTCTGATGTATGAAGCAATATTTCCTGGGTTCACGTTGTGAATACACGAGACCTCAGCAGTAGCGACTTGGAATCTAGGTAGACTGCTTTCCTAAATATGTCTTTTTAAATGTCTGAGGAGACAGAGTATTGCTTCTTGGTAAATTACTACATTGAGATGGGAAGGGAAATGGTCTTAAACCCTGCGATGGTTTGTATATATTCACTCCCCAAGGAGAAGGAACATAATCTCCCACGAGATGGCCAAATCTCATGAAGGCTGATTAGAGCGAATACCGAGCCCTTGATATTATTATCCTTAAAGCTGCCATTAAGAGATTTGATAGCACAGATACAAGTGCGCTGCTCGTAGCCTAGATAACACATGGTTCCAGATGAGCAGATTGCCTCTGAGGCTGGCTTTTCATCAATGCGGATGATTTCTTTGATCCATAGATGTCCTATGTTTGACAATAGGCCCAAGGAGACGATTTAAAGCCAGCCAGAGACCAATAACAATTAACTGCCTAGGCAAATGGCCTTTCAGGGATTATTTCAATATTAACGTCAAAAGGGAGCCACAGGTTTCAAAAATGTGCAACTGAAACATTATTTTCGAAGGTTTCCACGGACTTTCTGAGGGGCACAGTACTTGTGTCATCTAGTGGCATCTCATTATAATTTTACGTTAACTGAATGTGCTAGATATTCTACCGGGAATTCATAGAGAGAGTCCACAGTTATGCCTGTCCTCCATCTTTAGGAGATTTCGGCCTAGCAGTTACAAACACATAAATATTCACTTCTCTGGGTGCTGCACAACTGTTCATGGAGAAAATTTCACGTTGTTCCCGGAAATTGCCAAGATGCTCTCTGAAAGTTTAAAACATAAAACCATACAGAGGGACAATACTAATGGTTTTTCAGAAGAGGACAAAAAGAGGGTTCTGAGTCGTTCTGGGGAAGCTGTAGAACTGCGTCTTTGATTTTTTTCTCTCTCTCTCCAACTGAAGGATTCCTGACGCTAATGCTATATAACAAGGATCTAGACTTTTCCAAACCCAACACTGCAATACATAATTCCATTCAAGATGCTTATTTATATAATAGGACAGACAATTTAAAAATATATGCCCAAGCCTCAGAATGCTGTCTTGACTAGCAGGGTCCAACTTCTGGGTACAGCTGACCCTTGAACAACACAGGTTTGAACTGCACGGGTCCACTTATATGAGGATTGTTTTCGATG